ACCCATGTGCCTCGGTTCTAAGGTTGTGGGGCACCCGTGTGCCTCGATCCTGAGGTCCTGGGGCACCCATGTGCCTTGGACCTGAGGTTGTGGGACATTCTTGTGCCTTTGACTCAGTAGCAAATCAATTCAGATGAGATTGGGGCTCTCAGACTTATCACCATGATTTGAAAGTCTCTGCTTTGAAGATACATCACATTTTTTAAATAACAGGAAGTTCTCCTTTTTCTACTTTTTGTTACTAGAAAGTCACAGAAAAGTGAAAGTTCCTGAGTACAGTGTCTTGAATTGATTTGTGTTACGGTCGCCTTCTGAGTTAACTTGTGGAGCTTTTTCTTAGACAGGTGGATCCTGTCTTACCGTAAATGTGGAAGTGCAGGACTCTCAGTCACTGCAGAAACTCCTCCATGGATCACATGGGATCCAGAGAAGCTGCTGGGCCCGTGATCCTGAAGATTCCTTGCGGCTCTGAGGTCAGCCCGCAGCACCGTCTCAGGACAGTCGAGACAGAAGGACGCTCGTCCTTCTGTTTCCACGAGGCTGCACCGGCTGCAGTACTGGTTCTCTTAGGTTTCCACGTGAGTGTGAGGTTCAGCGTCAGCCAGCTAGGCTGCTTGAGTTTTAGTCTTAGCTCTGGAATTAACTACCTTCGACAAAGCTCAGCTTTCTACATCGGCCTCTTGCTGGAAGAAGCCAACAAAAGGCTGCATTGCAGTGGCGTTGATTCCGACTCATGGCGACTCCAGAGGTACGGAGTTGGACTGCCCCACAGGATTTTCTCGGCTGTCATCTTTACAGAAGCAGAATGCTAGTCTTCCCTCTTTGGTGTCGCTGGGTGAGTTCAAACTGCCAGCCTTTAGGTTAGCAGCTAAGGGCCATGGTGTTTTGTTTTAGAAACCTCGGGAGCTGGTAAAATACTGGTTCCCAGGGGACACCCAGCTCCCCTAAGCCAGCATGAGCCATAGGCCTGCCTGTGGCCTCTGTGAACGTTTTGAGTGAGTCTCGCTCAGCCAGGCCTGAGGACACGGCTTCTGTACGTGGGTCCATTTGCTTGAATGTGGAATGTCCGGGTGGACCCTGGGAGGGCGCTGATCCGTGCTTGCCAGGTTTTCCTTCTGTCTCGGTCCTGAAGGGCACAGGACATTGAAGGAGTGACTGGAAGGGGAATGACTGTCCAGATGACAAGCACCAGGGAGGGGGTGGTGCAGGCCAGCAGGGACAGTGGGTAGGCCTGGGGATGGGGTGGGGGCATTTCAAACCATGGACCCCATCACCTCTCCTTGCAATAGACTTGCATTCCCATCATGTTTCCTCATAAGTGCTGACCAACCGAAAGCGCCATACTGCTTACTCAGTTGATCTCCATCACTATATGACTTTGCTCAGGGATCCTCACCAACTCACTGTGGGACAGGCACAGCAGGTGGAGGCAGGGGGAGATGAGGGAGGCAGGTGGCTGGCAGGTAAGCAAAACATCTCCAGTGAGCTTTCTGGGTGCCCGACACAGAGCTGAAAATGGCCACAAGGCTTCTGAGGCCCTAGAACATGTGGGTTCTGACACTGCGATTCTGTGTCTCCAGCAAGGCACTGCAGGATGCTGATGTTGAGATCCTTTGGACCCTTGAACGGTGTCTTAGTTTCTTGTTGTTGTCTTTAGGTGCTGGCGAGTCAGTTCCAACTCATAGTGATGCTATTTTTGCAGAAGGAAACACTGCCCCCAGTCCTACACCAGCCTCACAGTCATTGCCGTTTGAGCCCATTGTTGCAGCTCCTGTGTCAATGCATCTCGTTGAAGGTCTTCTTCTTTTTCACTGACCCTCAGCTTTACCAAGCCTGATGTCCTTCTCCAGGACTGCTGCCTCCTATACCATGTCCAAAGGATGGGAGAAGTCCCACCATTCTTGGTTCTGTGGAGCATTCTGGCTGTACTTCTTCCAAGACAGATTGGTTTGTTCTTCTGGCGTCTGGGACATATTTCATGTTCTTTCTCGGAGCTGCTGTAACAGAAATACCACAAGTGGGTGGTTTTGAAGAACAGAAGCTTGCTGCCTTGCAGTTAAGGAGACAAGAAGTCCAGATCCAGGGGGCTGGCTCTCGGGGAAGCTCTGTCTGCTCTGGGGGCAGATCCTCATCTGGCTTCTAGGCATTCTTCGGAGCTCTCGCCCCGTTTGTGTGTGCTTGCTTCCGTGTCTGATCAGACCCTTTAATCTCAAAAGGGATTGGCTGTAGACACACCCTGCCCTACACCAACATAGCCTCATATAACAAGAAATCCCTATTCCCAAAGGAGATGACATCTCCATGGATGCTGTTGTTGGGTGACCTTGAGTAGATTTCAGCTCGTGGTGACCCCGTGTGACAGCACAGAACTGCCCCATGGGGTTTTCTAGGCTGTCATCTTTATAGGGGCAGATCCCCAGGTCCTTCTCCCGCAGAGTCAGGGGTGGATTCAAACACCTGATCTTTCAGTTAGCACCCAACTGCTTAACCATTATACCACCAGGGCTCCTTATCCACATGGATAAGACTTAGCATTCCAACACATATCTTGGGGCACACAATTCAGCCTATAACAAACGGCAAGGAATGTTACCGTTTATTCCTCATGAAGACCCTTGTCAGCAGATACAGTCATCACCACCATTTTGAAGATGCTAAGCCAGAGGGCAAACAAAGTTACATTGTTTGGCAAGGGCACCCCGCTGGCCAGGTGGGGCCTGGAGCAGGCCTGCCGTACCACAGGTCTGCATCTGTCTCCTTCCGGAGCGAGGTCCCGGATCACAGCCTTCTCCCTCCTTAGGACCTGCTCCGCTGCCTTTAGCCAGCTACACGCCCTGCTCCCTGTCCCAGCGAGGGAGCACTAGCATCTGAGTAAGCAGGTTCTTGTGATTGCCAAGCAGCTCAGCCAGTGGTGACCTGGAGGTCTGCTCCCGTAAAGATGATGGCCGAGGAAAGCCTACGGGGCAGCCCTGCTCTGTCACCAGGGGCCGCTAAGAGTTGGAATCAACTCGACAGTGCACAACCACGGGGTCTGTGTGATGGTCTTGGAGAGCCGCCAAAAAAGGGCTCTTGGTAGGCTGGCACAGGGGAGAGTAGCCCAGTGACAGGGTGGGGTGCAGGCCCTCTAGAGCAGTGGAGGTCGAGCTGAGACAAAGGCTTGGGGTTTCTGAGCACCTGTGTCACTTGCTGGTGACCTGGGCCAAGGGAACTACTACCTGTAAAGGAATCTGCTAGATAGACAAAGAGCTGGTATGGGCAAGTCCCAGCAGGAAGGTTGGTGATCATACTGTCCCATGATTGTCCATTAGTTGGGATTTCACCATCTGGTCAGTGCCCCAGGCTCTTGGAATCTCTGGAAAAGTACTTACTGCAACTCTCCTTCTGACCACTAGGAGTGCTCTGACCTTCATAGTGCTCCCAGCCATCTGGCAGACAGCTCCTTCCCTTCTTAGGTGAGCCCAGAAAAGGTTGGTATTTTCCCAAAATACCCAACCAACATACTGAGTTTTAAAAAGAGTTAGAAAATGTTGTACAGACACATATATAGCATAGAAGCAGTTATTTCATTTCTATGCTTAAATGTTATTTTGTTTTTAAAGTGGATATATTTATAGTTTATCCTACTCCTTGCTGAGGAGCCCTGGTGGTACAAGGCTTAAGCACTTGGCCACTAAGCAAAAGGTTGGTGTTTCAAACCAACCCAGTGGCTCTTCAGGAGAAAAGCCTTGACAGTCTGCTTCCATAAAGATTACAGCCAAGAAAACCCTCTGGGGAAGTTCTGCTCTGTCCCATGGGATGGCTGTGAATCAGAGTCGACTCATGGCCCAGCAACGGGGCTCCTTACTCCCTGACTCTAACGAGGAGGTGAGTGGTTTACAGTGGGAGACAGATGCGCTGGAAGGTGAAGATAAGGAAAAAGAGCAGGTCCGCGGAGGGGAGACAGGGATGCAGAGATAGTGGTTCCAGCTGCAGACAAGACAAAACAGCAACAGAAAGAACTCAGTTTTCTTGGAAGCAAAGCAAAAAAGACATTTTTCTGTTATATGATAAAGCTTACCAGTTTCTCAAGAGAGATGACTATCACGGAAGCACACAGATTGTTAATTTTTTTTTTTTAAAGTAACCAGTCTAGTCATGGGCTGTTAAGGTTGGCTAGGCACATTGAAGCCAGCTCCTGGCCCGGTCTCTCCTGAAGCGTTCCCACTGTCCCTTGATAAGTCTGGTCCTACTCAAACCTGCCGCCACTTCAACCCCTTCCTGTTGGCTCAGCCTTCTCGCTTTGATGCTCTGGAGTGGGTTCTGAGCTCCACAGACACACACAGACCACTCTGTACAACACGTTCACACACAGAAAAGGTGGTTTGCCAGGAGATAGCTCCAGTCACCAGTATGAGGAACCTGCACTGAACCTTGGACACGTGGACTCGTGGAATTGGCCACAGCAGCAAATAGCATGGGGGTGAGGGTGGGGGTGTGGCAAGCAGGGCTTTTTTTCCTCTTTGCTAGCCCTGGGCCACTTTAGACCTTGTCGATGTTTCCCAGGGCTGTCTAACAAAATACCACAAACTGGGAGGCTTGTAGAAACAGAAATCTATTGTCTCATGGTCTGGAGGCCAGAAGTTCGAGTTTAGGGTGTTGACCGTGTTGATTCCTTTACACTGCTCTGCGAGAAGAGCTGTGCCATGCCTCTCACCCCGCTTCTGGTGACAGCTGCCAATCACTCCAATCTCTGCCTCCATCTTCCCTCTGGGTCTCTTCCCCTCTTTTATAAAGACACCACTGTGGTTGGATTAGGACCCACTCTCCTCCAGTGTGGCCTCATGTTAACTGATAACATCTTCAAAGACCCTGTTTCCAAACAAGGTCCCATTCACTGGTCCAAGGATAGAACATGAACAGATCTTTTGGGAGCCACTTGAACTCATAACAGAATCCTTCCCCAAAAGGCTTCGGCTCTCCACCCATCAGAAAGTACATCTCGTCCTGAATTTCCCCCTCAGGAAGCCTATGTGACCTTCCAGGATAACATCAGACTGGTAGGGGAGCTGGTGACCGTCTTTGGGGCCGTGACCATCTTGCTTGTGGAGGTGAGGCATCGGCGGGGTTCAGGTGAGGCTGTCTGCTCAGAAAGCCAGCCTAATCTCCAGTCTTTGGGGAGCTTAAAGCCAGTTTCTTCGTGTCTCCCTGGCCTCTCCTCAGATCCCGGACATCTTCAGGGTTGGGGCCACTCGCTATTTTGGGCAGACCATCCTTGGGGGGCCGTTCCATGTCATCATGTGAGTGTCCCCTTCTCGCAGCCCTCCCTTCCCTTGAGAGTCCCTCCAGGTCTCCAATTCTTGCTGTCTGGGACCTAGACCTCAGCTGATCCTGACCTCAGGGGATTTCTCTCAAGTGGGTGTGAATGTGGGGTGGTATGTAGTTTCAGAGTAAGGACTAAGCTGGAATTTTCAGGTATGTCTCAGTACCCTTTTGCTGCTGGTTCCAGGATAACTCAACCCTTCTCTCCTCCTACCCCCAGCATCACCTACGCCTGCCTGGTGCTGGTCACCATGGTCATGCGGCTCACCAGTGTCAATGGAGAGGTGGTGCCCATGTCCTTTGCCCTGGTGCTGGGCTGGTGCAGTGTCATGTTCTTTGCCCGCGGATTCCAGATGCTGGGCCCCTTCACCATCATGATCCAGAAGGTCTGTGTCTCCTCCAAGCATCCCCTGTTGTCAGCCACAGGACCTGCTACTGGAGGGATGAGTGTGGGAGCAAAAAAAGAAATTCTGCTCGGGGTGGACTTGGTACAACTTTGGGGCCTCCTGGTCTGTGGCTCAGGGACAGATGGAGAAGGAATCGTTCCCGCTCTCTCCCCTTGTCTGTCTCCATTAGATGATCTTTGGAGACCTGATGAGGTTCTGCTGGCTCATGGCTGTGGTCATCTTGGGCTTCGCCTCAGGTGAGAGCTGCGTTCTTTCCTCCACTGACCATCAGATCCAGTTCTCCAGAGAGCCCAAGCTCTCTCTTTCTTTCAGTTCTCCTTTGCACTTCCAAAAAGTGAGTCAGGACGCGAGGTTTGATCTGGCTGCAACATCTGTCACCCCATTGATGGCTGGGTTGATTCGGCTGATCTGGCTGGCTCGGTGGGTGTCCTCTTCCTCCCTCATTGCCCCGTGTGCGTCCCTCCTGAAGCTACACGCTCGGTTGAAGAGGACGAATTTCTCTGATAGAGGAAGATTGTCCCTTGGTCAAGGGTATACCAGTAGCTGCCCTCCCCTGCTAGACCCTCCAAACAAGCTCTCAAGGTCCAAGAAGTGAGTCAAAAAGTACACCCATCTCCAGAGGATCTGGGCTATGCAAGTTGGCTTAGAGGGAGCCCATGTGTTCTGACTCTCTGGGCCAATTATATTTGCATTAAGTTAATGCCCAGCAACCACTGTTTGGTAGTGAGTTTGGTTTCTGGTGTTTTTTTTTTTTTTTTTTTAAGGTCTTTAAAGGAGAGGGAAAGAATGGGCTTTGGAAAGAGAGAGGGACATTTCAGAGAAAAGGCTGGTCAATGGTGGACCTTTGAGAACTACGTAGGCAAACAGAGTACAGTGTTTAACTTCCTACATTTACAATTCAGAAGAAACATAAAGCATTCAATAAAACACAGTGTTCTTTTTTTTCCATCTGTGAGCATTTGAAGTTGAGATAAAGGAAAGAATTAGAAAAAGAAAGTACAGAAACAGAGTTCAAAGAGTGGGGAGGAAAACGGAAAAAGAAGAGTTGTGAAGAGAGAGACAGAGGAACAGAGACAAGCAGACTCAGTCAAGGTGACGGAGGAGAAGGAAAAAGGAGCAGGGAACAAAAGACAGCTGAGAAGGAGCCAGAGAGAAGGGAACGAGGAGGAGTGCGTTCTTAGGGAGACGTGGAGTGCAGAAGGGCCCAGGGAGGGAGACAGGAAGGCCCACGACTCTCACCCAGCCCCCAGTTTCTCCAGCTGATCATAAAATGAGGGGATTGTACTAGATGATCTTTGAAGACTGCCCAACTCTAATAGAACATAACTGGGTACAAGGAGCACTGTTCCTGCTGTTCCCACAAAACAATACAGAGCATGAGAGAAACACAAACACGATCTGAGGTAGGAAACAGAGCTGGGGCAGCCCAGTCTGTCCGGAGTGTCCCACTTTTCCTGAGTCCTCATGCCCCCTCTCTCCCCACCCCCACTCCATCTGCATCCACACGTACACAGATTACACGATGAGCACTTTGCTGTAGATGCCCTGATTTCTCTCTTTTTGGCCCTACATTTGCTTTTTCTCCAATAAATAAGCAGGATTTTGTCACAGACTCTGTGTCTGCTCTGGGGACCAGGTCACCTTTTTCTTGCCTCAGCTCCCTATTGAAAGAGGAGTCTTAAAGTTTCCAATGCTGCCATAAGAGTCCACGATGCCACTCTGCTCCCCGCAGCACAGGGGTGGTTTCCTTCGATGGGCATCTCAGGGTGAGGGGTGGTCATCCAGGTGCTCTTCGTTCAGTCAGCTCTTTAACATTGTTGGAGATTCTGTGCATTCTTGTAACAGCTTGCCTTTTAAATACATGGTTTCCTAAAACGTGAAAACCAATCAGATAACTTACTTAATTGATCTCTTTTTGCTCAATGGCTGATTATCACTATGACCCAAATGATGACCTTAGGGGACATCTCAGGATTGGCCAGTTCCAGAGGTAAAATGCAACCTCCATGCACACACTCACACATCTGCCCTTTTGGGTAAGTGTGTGTGCAGATGTGTGAGTACATGGAGGTGTGTGTATGGGAGGAAGGATGGATACTGAGCAGCCATGCTTATCCTGTCACTCTGTTTCCCCATCTCCTGGGCGAGGCAGCATTCTACATCATCTTCCAGACAGAGGACCCAAACAACCTGGGGCATTTCTACGACTACCCCATGTCTTTGTTCAGCACCTTCGAGCTCTTCCTCACCGTTATTGATGGGCCTGCCAACTATGACGTGGACCTGCCCTTCATGTTCAGTGTGGTCTACTGTGCCTTCACCGTCATTGCGACGCTGCTCATGCTTAACCTGTTCATCGCCATGATGGGTGACACCCACTGGCGGGTGGCCCACGAGAGGGATGAGCTCTGGAGAGCCCAGGTGAGTTTTTAAGTACCAATGCAAGTAAAGTAGAAGATCAGTGGAAATAAGGGAAACCCTCACGAGATGGACTGACGCAATAGCTGTAATAACAGACTCAGACACAACCTAAGATCGTGAAGACGGTGCAGGACCAGACATCGTTTTGTGCTGTTGCCCGTAAGGTCACCAGGAATTAGTGTTGAGTCAATGGCAGCTAACAACAACAGCAACAGTCCTGCTGAGGGGCAGGGAATGGAGAGAAAAAACAAAACGGGATCTGGGCTGGTAGACCAGTGAAAGGAGAACCGCGGGATAACCAAGGGAGTTACCACTTCAACAGAGATTGATGGAAACCTGAGTCACCTGAGCATCAATGCAAGGGGTAGAAAGAAGATACAAGGATAGGACAGGGGTTTTGACTTCAAGAGAGAAGGACACAGACCCAGGAGTCACCCTGAATTCCAATGGGAGCCACTAACTCTCTTGACCTTATATATTCTAGTTCTTATTTTGAATCTGATTTTCTATTTGCTCCTATAAATCTCCCTGAACTTCTTTTATTTTGGTCTCATCAGAGATTAAGAAAAGCATTGAATTGGAAGTGACCTTAGTGGTCCTTCTAGTTGAAGGTCCTATCTAACATAATAATTGTTTATTGGCCAGAGAGTCTTCCAATCAATATCCACTTGAATAGTGAGTAGGAACATATTACCTTATGGATATGGATAGGGGGTAGGGAGAGATGAGTTTTTTCATATGTTGTAGGTTTTTGTTATTACAAAGGCCTATGATGAGTTGAGCTGAACTCTTTCTTCCTGCAATCCCACCCTTCAACCCCAATCTTCTCTAGAATGACAACAGAACATACTCTTCTATATGGACACCTTCACATGCTTGCACACAGCCATCATGTGTGCCCCAGACTTTCCATCCATTTACAAAGAATTATTCTGTGTTGTGTTGGGGAGTGTCTAGGAGCTGGGGACACAGGGTGAACCCAGAAGACGCAGTCTGTGCTCCCCTCAAGCTAGCTGTCGAGTTGGAAGGACAGACAAACAACCTACAGACAGCTGCATGGTGACAGTAGTGAAAACCTCCAGAGAACCACCAGGTGCTACGGGAGTCACAACAGGAAAATCTGGCCAGAAATGTCTTGAGCAAGTGGCGTTTAAGATGAGGCCATAAAGATGGGGAGGAATCAGCCAGTTAGGGGTGGAACGTGAGGTTTGTGTCCCTCAGAACTTTTGGCTGCAGGGCCAGAAAACTAACCTCAAATAGACTTTTACTGCAAGTACGAGGATGTGTTCATCTTCATAATAGATGTCTAGAAGATTAAACTGGCTTCAGGCAGGTCTGGATGGAGTCCAGGTGTCCGTTGCACACATGAGAGCAGTGTCTCTGTTCTGCTGTACTCTGTGTAGGCTCTTCCATCATGATGGTGAGATAGTTAGTAGATGTCTCAGACTCCCTAGGGAAGGAGAAACACAGCATTACACAGTCCCGGGGCCCCATTTGTGCTGTGTTCTGTGTGCTTCTTGACACTGTGCAACACTGCAGCCTTTAAAAGAGTGTCACTTCACCAGCAAGCCCAGTTCCATCTTTGGGAACAAGTTTGGGTCTCCAGCCCATCCTTAAATCTAAGGCTACAGCCAAGGGCTGGATAGTGACGGATGTGGTAGAAATGGTGGTGGTGGTGGTTGTGGAAGTGATAGGTAGTGGTTGTAGCAGTGACAGTGGGGGTGGGGTGTGGTAGAGATGATGATGGTGGTGGTGGTCATGGCAGTAGTGGTGGTGGAGGTGATGGTGACAATGGTGGTGTTGGTGGTGGTGGAGGTGGTAGTGGTGGTGATAGAGGTGGTAGTGGTGGTGACGTGGATTTTGGAGGTAGTACCAAAAGTAGGTGGGGTCTGACTGATGGGGCAAGAAGGGGATTTATAGGAGCAAACATCCAAGGAAAGGGAATAGAATGATTGCGAGTCCTGAGGTAGGAGGAAACTGAGAGGAGGCCAGTGTGGAGTGCTGAGAAAGACGGGGAGTGGAAGGTATGAGGCAGGAGAATTGGGTCATGTGAGGACTGCTAGCTCCTTCAACCATGAGGCCTTCTTTGCCCCAACGCTTCCTGATGAGACCCTCCATTCATGCACTAATAGATCACGCTCTTTTCAAATGTAGGATGATCCTAGTATGAGTGGAGCAATGTGCTACAAAGAGAGGTCATGCTAGTCTACTATCAATACCACCTAAAGATCAGTGGTTCAAACCCACCAGCCACTCTGCAGAAGGAAGATTGGGCAATCTACTTCCGTAGAGATGCCGCCTCGCAAACCCAAGGAGGGGTGGCTATGAGTCTGATTGACTCGACGGCCAGGAGTTTGGTTTTGATTTTTTATCAGGCAACATGAAAGTAGGGCCTTCCATTTGTTTTCCTTGAATTCCATGTTACTGGTTTGAGACCAGCATTCTAATCTGGTGAGGTCATTTTATATTGCTTCGGTCTTCATCCCTCCCAGATTTGAGGCACAGGCATATCTGATAAACATGTCTTCTATGTTTCAAAGGACAGCACACGTGATGTGTCATTAGACATTTTCCTCCCAGAGTCATTAATTGGCCTTCTTCCTTCTTAGGATGTGGTGTTTGATTTGCTGCACAGTCCTTGAACAGTAGCAACATCACTTTATACCCAATATCATAAAGAGTATATTTAATCATCTTATTTAAATCAAGATAGTTAGTCTTTGGCTTTCCTATGAAAAAGAAATGAGAGTAGCTCAGAGTGACTCATTTTTCTTGAATCTGAACAGAAAGGTAAAATACCCTCTCTCCTTTCCCAATGAGGGATGTGTAGAACACTTAGTAGCTGACCCAGACTATGGGGTAGAGGATAGACTGGTGTGGGGACAGACTATGGGGTGGGGACAGACT